TTCAGTGTCCTTGCACTGAGAGAAAGCTAGAATGCAGGCTGTGCCCTTTGGCTCAGCAGATCTGAGAAAAGCTATTTCCTGCTGCCTCACCCAGGCCCAGAGGAGCATGGGTTTGGCTGGAGCAGAAAGCAGGTGCCGGCCACTCTTGCTTTGAACCTTTTCCTCGCGGTTTTTCCCTGGGGTGCATCCACCCCTGGAGCATCCTGGTCCCCTCCTGCATCCTCCTCTTGCCGCCTGCTCGCAGCCTCCCGCCGGCCAGTACCGACAGCACAGAGCATCACCGGGCAGCACCGGCAGCACCGGGCAGCACCGACAGCATAGAGCAGTACCGGGCAGCACCGGCAGCACCAGCAGCCAGGGCAGCATAGAGCATCACCGGGCAGCACCGGCAGCACCGGCAGCACCGACAGCATAGAGCAGTACCGAGCATCACCGGCAGAATAGAGAAGCACCGGCAGCACCGACAGCATAGAGCATCACCGGGCAGCACCGGCAGCATAGAGAAGCACCGGCAGCACCGGGCAGAACCGGGCAGCACAGAGCAGCACTGGCGGACACCTGCCAGACGCAGGACCACAACAGGGGAGGAGGGTTTATTACTATTGTAAATAAAACAAAATCATTCACTTTTATCAGTACAGAGGGGCGCGGCCGGGGCAGAGCGCCGGCTGGGCCGGTGTTGATGCAGGACAGGTTTTCGCCGGTTTCCCCCAAGAGAGCTGAGCCCCGCTGGCTCGTCAGGTTGCCCAGGTGCCTGGGCCACATCCCATCAGCAGGTCGAGCTGCTGCACTGCTGACAGCGTGGGGTCTGCACTCGTACACCTGGATCTGCACAGCCCCGAGGCTCGCTGCTGGGACATCTCCTTTCAGTGTCCTTGCACTGAGAGAAAGCTAGAATGCAGGCTGTGCCCTTTGGCTCAGCAGATCTGAGAAAAGCTATTTCCTGCTGCCTCACCCAGGCCCAGAGGAGCATGGGTTTGGCTGGAGCAGAAAGCAGGTGCCGGCCACTCTTGCTTTGAACCTTTTCCTCGCGGTTTTTCCCTGGGGTGCATCCATCCCTGGAGCATCCTGGTCCTCTCCTGCATCCTCCTCTTGCCGCCTGCTCGCAGCCTCCCGCCGGCCAGTACCGACAGCATAGAGCATCACCGGGCAGCACCGGCAGCACCGGCAGCACCGGCAGCATAGAGCATCACCGGGCAGCACCGGCAGCACCGACAGCATAGAGCATCACCGGGCAGCACCGGCAGCATAGAGCATCACCGGGCAGCACCGGGCAGCACCGACAGCATAGAGAAACACCGGCAGCACCGGGCAGAACCGGCAGCACAGGCGGACACCTGCCAGACGCAGGACCACAACAGGGGAGGAGGGTTTATTACTATTGTAAATAAAACAAAATCATTCACTTTTATCAGTACAGAGGGGCGCGGCCGGGGCAGAGCGCCGGCTGGGCCGGTGTTCCCGGCTGCCGGGGGAAAGAGCGGGGAGAACGGGCTCGGCGGCCGGGACGGTGATCGGCGGCTTGTCGGGGGGGAACACGGCCGGACACACGGACACACAGACACACGGACACTCGGCCGGACACACGGACACACAGACACACGGACACACAGACACACGGCCGGACACACGGACACACGGACACACGGACACTCGGCCGGGCACACAGACACATGGACACTCGGCAGGACACACAGACACACGGACACACGGCCGGACACACGGCCACACAGACACACGGACACACGGCCGGACACACGGACACTCGGCCGGACACACGGACACTCGGCCGGACACACGGACACTCGGCCGGACACACGGACACTCGGCCGGACACACGGACACTCGGCCGGACACACGGACACTCGGCCGGACACACGGACACTCGGCCGGACACACGGACACTCGGCCGGACACACGGACACTCGGCCGGACACACGGACACTCGGCCGGACACACGGACACTCGGCCGGACACACGGACACTCGGCCGGACACACGGACACTCGGCCGGACACACGGACACTCGGCCGGACACACGGACACTCGGCCGGACACACGGACACTCGGCCGGACACACGGACACTCGGCCGGACACACGGACACTCGGCCGGACACACGGACACTCGGCCGGACACACGGACACTCGGCCGGACACACGGACACTCGGCCGGACACACGGACACTCGGCCGGACACACGGACACTCGGCCGGACACACGGACACTCGGCCGGACACACGGACACTCGGCCGGACACACGGACACTCGGCCGGACACACGGACACTCGGCCGGACACACGGACACTCGGCCGGACACACGGACACTCGGCCGGACACACGGACACTCGGCCGGACACACGGACACTCGGCCGGACACACGGACACTCGGCCGGACACACGGACACTCGGCCGGACACACGGACACTCGGCCGGACACACCGCGGCCGCTCGGGGCCGGCCCGCAGCGCTGCCCCGCTCTGCGCGCTGCCGGCGCCCCGTCCCGTCGGGCAGCGCTGCCGTCCGCGCGTGTTTCGTTGGGAATAACGGGCTCCGCGCGCGGTGCGCCGGTACCACGGGAAGGGGCTCGGGCGGGCGCTCAGACACCCTCCGCTCTGCGGGGAGCTCCCCGCCGCTGAGCAGCATCTCCTGGGGCAACTTAACGAAAACTGCTGCTCCCAAACTTCAGGGCGCTGCCCAGACTGGCTCTGAAGGGACCCGGACAGGACCGGACACAGCGAGGCTGTGTCAGTGCCCACGGGACTGAAGCCCAGACCAGCCCGGATTGAGCCAGGGCTCTGCACTGTCCTGTAGCATCTCGGTGCTCTTAGGACCCAAGAGATGCGTTTCAGAGAGGTCAGAGTTACAGGGCGGGATGGGGTGAGGGTATCAGCCCTTCGCTGGTGCCTGAGCAGCGGCGTTAGTGCGGCAGCCGTGCCCGGGTCTGGCGGGGACGGTGCCCGGACCGTGCCCCCTGTGTGCATCTTGTGCACCTTAATGCAGGACGAGCTGCGTGCTGCTTCTTGTTGTGACGGATGTTGGTTTGTGCAAGCCTTGCCCAGGAACGTGGGCTTTGTTCCTGCTGCCGCCGGTGGGTTTCCAGCCCTCTCCATATCCATTCTCCCCCAGTGAGAAGTGTGGCTGAGGAGCAGAGGCTGAAGGCCAAGGCTCTGTGTGCCTCTTCTGTGCTGCAGCCTTCCTCCTCCTTGCGTGCAGTTATTTCTGGAGCCCCCTTGAATCTCTTGCGCTGCATTTGCTCCTTTCCCTGTTCACAGTTTCTCATCAAAACAAACTTCTGAGGGCGGTGAGTCACCTCAGAGCAGGGAAAACAGCAAAACCTTCCTATTCTATCATTCCTGGCTGACCTTGTAATTTTATCTCTAGTACCCTCCTTCCTCCCAGCCTCTTGATTTTTTACTCATCTCTTGTTGCTGTAATTTAATACTAATAGGATTTGGGTTTGGGTTGTTATTTTTCCAGCAGGTAGGGCTTTGGTTCAGTTTGGGTTTGCAAGTGCAGGGTGTGTTAGCAGTGGCAGCACACTGGTGTTAATTACCAGCTACAGAGCTTGTTTTATAGCCCCGTGGCGCGTAACCTCAGAAAGGAATAACCAGACTAGTTATGGCAACAAAACCACGCACACTCCCCAAAATCTTAACAAATTGGTTGCACAAAGAGTGGTTCCTGGTGGCTTCTGTGGGCTGCCAGGCAGCCACAACCCTTTCAGAAGTGGTACAGGATAAGCTCTCTGCCATTAGCACAAACCTTCCCTCAAAGGCTGAATAAAAGCATGCAGAAATCATTGAAATATTAAATGGTAACTTAGAGCAGAGGATCAGTAATTGGCCTTTATGCTTACAGCAGCCTTTGTGAGTTCTCTGTTTGCTGGAGCAGAAAAACCCCAGAAAATCATGCCCTGTCCTGCCTCAGGTTTCATTGTTATAATGCAGTGTGTTAGCAAGGGTGTTTGTGGGGTTTTTTCTCCACTGGAAAAATCCGCCCTGCGGCGTAAGGTGGGGTCAGCCGACATGCACGGCACGCGCTACGGCAGCAAAATTAGCAACATGATTTAAGTGGTTTGCCTTTGTGGGAGTATGCCTGCCCCGAGCCTCTCGGCCTTGGCTCCTCATCAGGCAGCTCCTCCTGGGGCTTCTGAGGTGTTCCAGGGTGTCCTGGCTTTTCTCAGGATAAAAAGAGCACTTGGGACGAGTTGAGGGGGGTTGCACACACATGTGTGCTCTTTCTTGTGAAAGTTGAGCAAAAGCAATGTTCTAAATGGGTCAGAGAATTGCCACCAAAAGTTTTTTTGTTTGAATAGCTGACACAGGTGTGTGCTGTCTTTGTGTGTGGAGTATTGTCCATGACCAGTATGGGTGGGAGGCTCAAAAAAGTAGTTGATTCATTACTCAATGGATGGAACTTGTGCTCCAGTGGCCTGGAAGCATCTTAATATTTTTTTCTCAATGGTGAGAGTAAGTAGAAACTGGAGTTCATTTGCCTGCAGCTTTGCTGGTTCAGATTAATTAAAAGTGTGATCTTAAGGAGCTGGGATTGATCAGGCTGTGCTGACTGCAGGATCCTCTGCATTTACAGGAGCCTCTGTAAATCGGGATACACGACACAGGCCCAGCAGTTGTTCCTGCTGTAATGTTTTTCCCATACCACAGCAATGCCAGTTATGGAGCTGCATCTCAGTTGTCACCCAGGCTGAGCCGTTGGCAGCAGCATCAGCTGAACTGCAGCCACGAGCAGGGGTGGTGGGACCCCCAGTGCTGGGGGTGCCTCTCCTAGTAGTCATTGACTGAGGTTGTTTGTGCTTGCCATGTGCACTGACCACCCTGTGGTGAGCCTGGGCTGCAAAGATTTTATAAATCTGGTAAAGAGAGTTTCTGTAATCATTTGTTTTAAGTGGCTGAACCAACCATAGCATGGGGCCTTGAGCAGCGAGTGCCTCACCAAACCTCAAGTGGTCTGTGTGGAGTGGGAAGGGGGAGCAACAACAGGCTGCTGGGCCCTTGCTCTGACACCTTATTGTCAGTAAGAAGTGACATGCACAAATGGCATGTGCCACCACACTGAAAATAGCTCCTGAGCGTGCCCTGGGAGCAGGCGGCCGCCTTATATGTCCTGCTGCACATGCTGCTGCCTCGGGGTGGGGGAGCCCCTTCCCAGCACAGGTGCTGCACATCCCACAGCGAGGGTGGCCTGCCTGCATTCTCCTGAGGACACGAGGGGCTGAATGTCAGTCTGTGAATTTAGCAGGGAAAAAACTGAGTGTGATGTCCGAGATGATGTTGCTGTTTGCGTTAAGCAAGTGTGGCTGGGCTTGAGTGTCAGTCTGTCAGCAGAAAGGAAGGAAAGAAGCAGTGCTCCTCTGGGTGCTCAGCAAGCCTTGCAGAAACAGCTTGATGTCCATCCTGGTCACCTTTTCACATAAGCTTTCTCTATTTCTTGCACATAGGATTGCCAGGTGCTCTTAAATCAGATGAAAGAGATCACAGGAATTCAGGATTCAGCATTCCTGCTTGCTGCTCTAAAGGTTTGTGTATATTGCCATTGTTTTGGGGAAAGAGAGCTCTGACGTTGTCCAAAAAGCCAGGCAAGTTCAGGCTCCCGCCCAGCGTAGCGCACAGGTGTTTGCTGTGTGTTTGTCAGCTGATGATGGCTGGTCCTCGTTAGAATGGTCCATGTGTGGCCTGAGAGTGACACAGGGTCAGCCTGGATGCATGAGAGGCAAAGGGTAAATCCTCTGCTGTTCTTCTCCTCACTGGTGCTTTCCCCTCTCATTCCACCAGGCTGCTGATGGAGATCTCATGGAAGCAGTCACCTTCCTGACAGAGGACCCTGCTCCAGAGCCAGTGCTGAACCCAGCTGCTGCAGAGCCATCCGCCTGGGAAGGAGGCACAGTGGGCAAACAGCTCCCACAGGGTAAGCTTACCTCTGCTCACCCTACAGCTTCATGTGTTTGCACATCCATCCTCCCTGCTTCTGCCAGCAGTACCTCCCTCCAGCTTCTGTTCTGGTGCATATTTTGTCAGTACTGATCACTTAGTAGTGTTTTAATAATGTTTGGAGGTGACATATCACAGTTAAAAAGCTGATGTTCCTGTCTCATTATTTCAAGAGCTGTGAACTGTTTAAGCTCTGAATTTGGCTGTAAGGAAATCTGGGTAGTGCACAGCTGCATGCTTTGCCCTGTTCTGCTCATCCAGCTCACTCAGTGGCCCCTAGATTGCCTGGCATGATCTGAACAGGGATTTCTGTTTAAAACCTGAGCTAGAAGATTTTGCTTGTATTGATTGAAGAGCCATGTTTGTGAAGCGTGATGTTTTCAGAATTTCCTCTTAAAGAGAATGTTTGCTGCTGCTGGTGGAAAACTGATCAGAGTGCTGCCTCTACTTCTAGATGTTGGTGCTGCACCTGCCCCTCACAACCAAGACAACCTCCGCACAGCCAACGCTGTCAGACCACTGGAATCACCAAAAGCTCCAGCTGCAGAAAGGGATGCAGCTGAAAGGTCAGTGGAGCTGTAAATGCCCCCCACTTTGGTTTTCCCAGATATCATAAGTGGGTTCTGAAGCTAGTAACTGTAGAACTACCATGGATCACCTGCCAGGTGGACAGCTACTGGCTGGAGGGGAGTTTGATTCCTGTAGCTCTTGTGCATCTTTGGGAGGTGTTTTACAGCACAGTGTTTCTCTTGTGACAGACCACAGGATGCCCATTCTGCTGAAAACAAAAACCGCTCCAAAAGGAAACGCTGTGAAGTCTGGGGAGAGAACCCCAAGCAGAATGACTGGAGAAGAGCTGGTGACTGGCCTGTTGGAATGAAAAATATAGGAAATACGTGTTGGTTTAGTGCTGTTATACAGGTAATGGGCAAAAAAGTTCTCTTTTTCTGATATCAAACTTGCTATGGTCTTGAAGTCAGAATGTTTCTCAGTTAGAAGCAGTTTTGTGAGGGAGTCATTGTATGCAGATGAGTGAATGTGTCCCTGCTCAAACACAGAAACTTCTGGGTTTATGTGATGTGCTTATACAGAAAGAGCCAAAGAGCAATTCAATAGGCTTTACTTAAAAATAGCTACAGATACAGAGAATCTGTGTGTCTGTGTGCAGGGAGTTGTGCAGTGATGGCCAAGTGCCTGCTGAAATGATAGAAGCTTGCCTGGCAAAGTGAACTGATAATTTAATTTTACTGCAGTTATTGTTGGCTCGATAACACATGGTGTATCATATTTCAGTTAATGGAATACACTGCCATAGATGCTTGGACAAATAAACAACTAGGCAGCATATATTATTAGTAATGACCTGAAGAAGAGACAGTAGTAAGTAGAACTGAGCAGATTTGTCTCTCCTAACCATTTCACATCAGCAGAGAGATGTTAATCACTTGTCTTCAGCTCTGAGAGGAACCAAGAAAGCTGCAAATGGTTCTTCTCACCATGGCTCGTTCTTGGATGCTTTTCTGAGCCTGCCTGTGTAGAATAGAATGATTTTCCTAAAAGGTTTATATCTATCCTAGAAATGACAGGATGAGATTTCGCCCTTGGCTGGGTACAAACATGCTGATGATCTCAAAGGTCTGTTCCAGCCCAGTTAAATCTGTGATTCTGACTCTGTGCTGGCCCAGCAAGGGGCTGCTCACACTGTAAACGTGCGTTCAGTAACACGGGACCATTGGGAATGTGAAGTTCACAAAAGAAACCCGTCAGGTCAGAGTGAAAGCAGGGCATCAGGTTGCAGTGAGCACAGTCCTTGCAGGTGCTGACTGAGCTTTGCCTCTCCTCTCCTCTCCTTTCAGTCTCTGTTTCAGCTGCCAGAATTCCGGAGGCTGGTCCTTGGGTACTCCCTCCCACAGAATGTGCTTGAAAGTTGTCGTAGTCACACTGTAAGTCTTGATTCAGTAACAATGTCAAGTTTCCCTCTTTTATGGTGTAGCATTCTGCTCTTTCTCCAGCCAGTTTAATTTGGGGCCATCTGAGACCTGAGGCTTTAAAATCATCTGGCTACATTTAAGACAAATTTAGGAAATTCTCAAAAACAGAGTCAGGATAGGGAAAACAAGGGCTGCTTCTTGTACCTCTGCCCTCTAGAGCCTTTAACTGCTGTGTGGGGAGATGTTTTTCCTATAAAACTTCTTCGGCAGCTCCAGATTACTCCTTGGTTTGCATGCATGGTAGAAGAACTGGTGTTTGAGCCAGTGTGCAGCTGGTTGGGTACCTTTTACAATATGTGCCTGTGGTGTTGGGTAGCACTGCGTTTTGAGGTGATGCTTTTTAGAGCTGCAGGAAGGCTTTGACTTTTCTTCTTTTTGCAATGCAGGAAAAAAGAAATATTGCATTCATGCAAGAACTTCAGTGTCTGTTTGCATTAATGCTGGGGACATGGCGTAAGTTTGTAGACCCTTCTGCAGCACTGGAGCTCTTGAGGGACGTGTTCAGATCAGCTGAACAACCACAGGTAAAACCACGTTGAAAAGCCTTTTGCCCTCTTCAAACCAGCAGTCACAGCCACGGCAGCCCCATTTTGCCTGATCCTGCTGGTACTTTGAGAGGCCTTTTCCCATGTTTGTCAGCCCACAAGCAGCTGTCCCTGTGTCGTTAGAGCAGAGCGTGCTAATTAACCAGCCAGTGTAGCGTGGCACTACCCAGTGCCATCTGCGTAGTCGGGGAGCGATCACGATAATTTCCTCTGATCTAGTGTTCAGATGAGCAGGGTTCATTATCAGTCTAAATCAGCACTTCAGTCTCGTGTAGCTCAGCTGAGTGGGTGCAGCAGTGCCAGTCAGGCTGTGTTCAGTGTTCAGCAGACTGGGGGAACGCTTTCTGGTGGGTGTCATGACTGACTCTCCACTTTCATCTCTCTTCTAGCAAGATGTGAGTGAGTTTACACACAAACTGCTGGACTGGCTGGAGGATGCATTCCAGCTCACTGTGAATGCCACGTGAGTGCTCTGTGGTCTTGGGAGTTTGACCTAAGGAGGGTTTTAATAAATTGGAGGACTTTATGTGAAAATTTTGAGCAAATGAGTGTTCTTTGTTTCCTGTGGATGAGGCTTACTAAGCTTGAAATGTTGTGTTTGCATCTCCTGTTGGTGTGTGGGACTTCACTCAGTGCCAATATGGCCTGCAGAGTAAATGAACTTTTGAGGGAGCTCAGCAGCCCCTCAAAAACCCCTCAGCAGGTGAACAGAAGAGCTCTGGTAGTTTGAAACTTCCTTTCAGAAGCTGGCATCTTAACCCTTTTTTTTCCACTCCTGCCAGTGTGTTATCATGTGCTTTGGAACATGAAAATTAATGAGATGCTTCCTCTTTATTTAATGCTTGGATAGAAAAATGTATTTTTGCCTGTAGGCCCCCAAGCAGAGGTTTAGATTATGACTTGGGGTTCTTTTGAAGCCTCCAGCTGCAAATTAAAGTGTGCTTTTGCTCTCTGAAACAGGAGCCTTGGGGACAAATCTGAAAACCCAATGGTGCAGCTCTTCTACGGGACTTTCCTGACTGAGGGTGTCCATGAGGGTGAGTTAAGGCTTTGGTAGATTCAGCTTGTTAACTCCTTTGAGGGTTTTGGAGTTAACCAGAATTCTTTGTTCTCTTGAGTTAGCTCATGGTTTCTGTATGGTTTCCATCATCCAGGCAACACTTTTTCCAAGATTGAGACCTTTGGTCAGTATCCCCTTCAGGTAAATGGGTACCGGAACTTGAACGAGTGCTTGGAAGGAGCCATGGTGGAGGGAGAGATGGATGAGGCAACAGCATCTCAGTCAGTGAAGTATGGACAGGAGGTTAGTTTGACCTTTTTTTGTTGAGCCTTTGGTTGCCTGCTGCAGAAAAGTGCAGCACACAAAGTGCAGGGCAACTGATAACTTTAAATGGCAGCTGCGAGTGTTCTCTAAGAATTGAATACAAAACATTTTCTGGATACCTGGAATCTCATGTAGATGTCTGCTAGTGTTAGATGTTCAGACACTAAGTGTGCTTAGACACTAAGTCTTTGCTGATTTTTAAAGATGTGATGTCCTATGTAACCAGTTCAGAGACTGTATTTTAAATTGCAAAGGTCAATGCCTCTGAGTCGAGTGTGATCAAGTCTCTCTCTTTCTGTTGAAGCCTACCTGTACCTGAGTAGGGGGAGACCTACTGCCTCCATATTTTCGGAGGGTAAAAGTACAGTGCTTAACTCCATGGTATGCCATTTGGAATTTGTCTCTTTCTCCCTATTATATTGTGTACGGTTTGGGGTTTCTCTTCTTGGTTTCACTCTTATTTTCTGACTGTGATGATTTTATTTCTTTTTTTTTCATCTCACTAATCACAAACCAATCATAAAAAACATGGTTGCATCAAGGTGAAGAAGCACCATTGCATTCAGCATCCTCTGTGTGTAGGTGCAGCAAAAGTTAGCTTGGAGAGAGGCTGGGAAACAGCATTGGCAAAGGTATCTGGTGTAGGCAGGGCAGGGAAGAGCATTTCAGTTCTATGAGAATGTCTGAAAATTGTGTTGCTGTGGTTTAAACTAGCAAAGGAGAAACAGTATTGAGCAGGGGAGCCCTGTTCTGACTCTGGACTCAAGTGTTTGTCCTGGGTTTTCCTGGTTTCTGCCTGAGGCAGTTCAGGTGCATTTACAGGGGATGTGGGTGTAGCTGGTGTTGGCTGGCACTGGAGACAAAGGCATGTTAGAGCTCATCAGGCAGGTTTGTTTCAATCCAAGCTTTTTTAGTTCCTCAAAATTCTTTCCCAAAATTAAGGGAAATTTGACCTGTCATGGAGCTGTTTTAATTCTTCTATCTGCACAGATAGGAGGAAAAGGCTCTGCCTTAATTTCTGAGAAGCCTTACTGGGAAAATTGTGATCTTAGTTTCACTTCCTAGGATGTGGTGGGTAAAGGGTGGCATGGCAGGGGACATAAGGGAACAAGGTGATTTTGTCTTTTGAGCACAAAGGGAAGTGCACTGAAAGTAAAAGCAGCAGGGGAATTAACAGAAACTTCTCTAGGCTATGGGAGCATAAATCATTCCTCCTTTGTGGTTATGGGCTGCTTCTTAGAAAGCTCTGGTGTGGGGGAGTTTTGTTGCTGCAGCACATCTGACATGAATTCCACAAAGGAGAAGGAGCTTAGTGTGCTCATCCTGAATCCAGAGGGGAGCATGAAGTGGGTGGTGCCAAGCTAAAATAGGTAAAGGAAGTTTCTGGCAGTGGATGCTGGAAGTTGTTGTGAATCCAGGAAGAGAAAGAGGAAGTGTAAATTCTACTGAGAATTTTTCTTTCAGCATAACTCTTTGAAATAGTGTATGAAGTTACAGAAAGTAGCTGGGGGTCTTCTTTGTATCCCCTAAATCAAGTAGTTTTCAAGTAGACTGAGAGAGAATAAGGATTCTGGTGCTGCAGGAGGACTCCTGGTTTATCACTGCATGTGATCTGCCTCAGAAGAGAACTCTCTTGGGGGCTCCTAGATGATGTGCAGATGGTGTGTAGCCTCAACTAATTTGTAAAATTCGGTGCTGGACTTAATAATCCATCAAGCTGGATGCATCAGGCAATGACAAGTAATGTTGAGAGCAATTATGAGACTTTTTCACAGTAAAAATGTAAAATGGAAACATAAATTACTAACTTGTAAAATTTGGCTTTCTGACTAGTCACTCTGCAAACAAAACCTAATTCTGTGCTTAAAGACAGAGACTTTTAAATCAGTCTGAAATCATATAGGATCAGTCTAAAATGTGCCATTAGCAGTCATCTTAAAACATTTCCCTCTGGGGGCATTTCTGCTTTTGTTACAGCGCTGGTTTACAAAACTCCCACCAGTTCTGACCTTTGAACTCTCCCGATTTGAGTTCAATCAGTCACTAGGACAGCCAGAGAAAATTCACACCAAGCTAGAGTTTCCCCAGACTATTTATATGGACAGGTGAGTTGTCCTGTTGTACGGTATGTTTAAAGCTGTTGCTTTGTTATAAATAAATAAATTTAAAAGGTTGTTTGGGTGAGCAAGGAAAGATTCTAAAATATTTACAGAAGATTGTGGATGTTAGAGATAAACAAATCTCACCTGGCAAACGGGGCTCTGTATTTCTGTTTAGGTACCTCTACTGCAATAAAGATCTTATTCAGATGAAAAGAGAGGAAATGAAGAGATTGAAGGAGAAAATGGTGACTCTGCAGCAGAAACTGGAAAGGTGAGTGGTCAGCTGGTTTTATTTTTATGCCCTCTGGAAGAGTGCAAGTGTTTCCTTTTAAATGAGCTTTCCAGTAGCAGAGAAGCTTGTAGGGGAAAGAGAAACATCAACATGCTTGTTCTGAAGAATGGGAGAAGGAAGTGTATTTTCAAAAACAAACCTGTCTCTTCAATTGTTTCTGAATTTTACTGATACTGTTACAGGAATAAATTCTTTAAAGATCAGGGCTGACACTGTCATCTGCACTGGCAGTGGAGGTGAGGAAGCCCAGTAGCACATTACAGAAAAAGTTATTGTTCTCTCTTCCCATGAGGTTTAAACCCATCTCGTTCCTTCATCCACGCACCCTGCATTTCTCTGCAGGTACATGGAGTATGGCTCTGGCCCAGCCCGCTTTCCACTGCCTGACATGCTGCAGTACGTGCTCGAGTTCATTGCGACAAAGCCAGCCGTGGCTGCGTCCTCCGCTCAGGGCTCTCACACAGCAGCCCTGCGCTCCCGAGCCAAGCCCGACGTCCTGGGCGTGCTGTCACAGCCAAACAGGTCAGGAAACAAAGAAAAAGGACACTTCACTTCCCAACGAAATGGTCCTGGGTGGCATTCCAAAAGTGGGTACTTATCTGGGCACTGGTGAACACGATGCTGTAAAGTGCAAATGCTTGTGCAAGTAGTGGGTCGCTGCTTTGCTGGTCGTTTGGTTCTGTTGGTGTAAGTAGAGCACTGCTCCTTGATCTGTTCTTTCCCCTTGTCCAAAAGCATCCCTATATTCCTTGCCTAAGCAGCAGTTAAGAACTAAATTATGTGCTCTTTTTGGTTAGGCTACTCATTTTTTTGCTTCGTTGACCAGTAAATTACAGCAATATTGGATTATTGTAACCCGGGCCAGCATGGTTGGTTTAACACTCTAAATTAAGCTGAGTAAACACACACGTTTTCTTAGTAGTAATGGAAGGAATTTTTAGCATTGCTCATTGTGGATCTGTGCTTAGAGAGTTCTCTAAGAATTTTCCTTAGTATTTTTCCTATATTGTAGTTTGAATTGTGAAGGCAGAAGCACATTGCAGTGTACTTGTTCTCTCTACATTTTATACTGCTCTGGAAAGAAAATCCTGCTCCAGCTCTGGAGTAACTTTTGTTTGGTTTATTTTGTATCATTTTCCAAAAAAAGAAAAACTAGAGAAATATTAAAAAACCTGCCCACTACTCTTGGACTTTGCTCCACAGCATACAAGAAAGGACTGATACCAGGACTGAAGATGAAGCCTTCTTTGTGGCAAATTCTTCGCCACAGCAAAGCTCCAGCGTGGAGCTCCAGCCTCCTGTTCCACCAGCAGAGCTGTCTGAAGGTCCAGCTCCTCACGTGGTCTCCAGGGAAGAGCTGAACCTGGTGCAGACATGTCTGCAGCGATGGAGAAACGAGATCGAGCAAGACGTGCAAGGTTGGCCCCAGATGCATTCGTAGGGATTTTCCTCCTGAATGCCCCCCTGGTTTCTCCTCTGTGGCTTTGCTGGATGCAGCCTGAACTACAGATGATTTTGTCCCTGTTTGAGCTCTGGTGTTGAGTCTGATGTTCTCTGCATGGCCTCAAACTCTTTGAAGTGAAAGGAGCTAGCATAGCCTGATGAGTAGTCATTAATTTTTATGCATTTCTCTCATTGTTGATGTTCTTGGCAGATCTGAAGGAGTCTATTGCCAGAGTCAACCTGTCCATCCAACAGATGTACTGTGACCCTCTCCTCCAGCAGGTAGGAAATGCAGCTTCAGTATGTAAATATTAACCTAGTATTGCTGATCCTCATTTTTGTTAGTACATGATGGTTTAAATTGCCCCTTCCACTGTATTTTTAAATTTCCAGTCATGAAGCAGAGAAAGATTTACTTAGGGAAATCTTGTTTCTTCTTTCCCTAGAAGTCAGTTTTCACATAGTAAGAAATGCATCAAATTGCTCGACTCTGTGCCATGCTCCACCTACAAACATTCCCACTGTTCATGTGCAGAGGTCAGGCAGGATCAGTCCCTGCCTGCACACCTGAGTGGTGTCCATGTCACTTGGCAGGTTCCCTATCGCCTGCATGCAGTCCTGGTCCATGAGGGGCAAGCAAATGCTGGGCACTACTGGGCCTTCATCTATGACCAGCCTCGTAAAAGATGGCTCAAGTACAATGACATCTCAGTGACAGAGTCCTCGTGGGAAGAGCTGGAGCGAGAGTCCTTCGGAGGCTTGAGGAACGCCAGTGCCTACTGCCTGATGTACATCAGTGACCAGGTGTCCCCTGCTGGTGCAGGTACACAGCCACACTGCTGGTTAATGCGATGCTTGTGTCTGGTGTGTCTCTGGCCTGCGTGGTCCTTATGTTCCTCAGCTTCTCCAGCACAGTTGTCTTTTGACAAAGCGCAAAACTTCACCTCAGATAGGATTGAAATAATCTGCTTCGTGCTTGATTCATTTCTAAGTCCCTGATAGGGCTGGAAACTGCCAGGAGAAGCATCCAGGTGAGATTAGAAACAGCACCTCATGAGTGAATTATGTGTGTACGGACTGACACTGCCCTTTTGCCACATTCAGCGTGCATCTAGTGCTGGTGTTCTTCATTTTGACTTTTGTACTGTTTATGTGGCAGCATTTGTTTCCTCAGGGCATGTAAAACACCCCCTTTTATCTCTCCCGTTTTTGTCACACTCCCTGACTCGTTTGCTTGGTCTTTGATGACTGTTACACTGAGTCCAAATGGGCTCTTTTTTGTGCAGCCTTTCCCCGAGAGGTGTTGGTACCTGAGTGGCTCAGAATTAGTGTGTTTGCAGTGTCAGTGCTTTGTGGAGAATTGCTGTGCACGTGGCTCTAGCCGTGGCAAACAGCTGTACAAGGACCCAGTCATTTCACACGTGGCTCATTTTGATGTAATAAATGGAAAGAAACAATGGAGAGCTGACATTCTGTTCATTGCTAAATGTGGCTGATGAGGATCTGGAGGTTGTTCTTTGTTTTCTTATGACAGTTCTGAAATGAACCCATGGGGTGTGTTTTTTCTCCTATTTAATGCAATTTTTTGTTGTTTTTTAAAGCATTTTGCAAAGGGTGCATAAAAATATCTGCTGTAGAAAGTTGCCATTTGCTTTTGATAAATTTTAGGACTTGTCTGAAGCTGATGCTTCTTGGGTTTTGTGCTGTTTTAAAAGAGAATACTGAAGTAGATCTAAAAAGCACTAAGAAATATCAGCATGGTACTCATGCAGCCCTTAGCTTTACCTGCTGTTCAGTGGTGAAGGTGTCACCTCTGGCTGAGCTGTGAACTTTCCAGCTGTTGGCAGCTGAGTGCTGCTCCCTGTACACCTGGAGCCCTTGGGTCAGGATGTGTCTGACCTGCATCAGCAGGCACTGCCTCTGGAATTGCTCTGTGTAGATGCTGTCCAGTAGTAGAACAAAACAGGGGTTTGTTTTAGATAACTCTGTAGATTTGTCTTTATTTTTTGCGCCTTTGCTTCTGGATCACCTTAAATTACAGAGCCAGTAGAAAATTTGGCTTCTTTCCCCTTTTATCCCTCAGCCAGTTTCCTTGTGGCTGCCCATGATATTGTGTGTGTGCTTAGTCCCTGAAGGTGGTGCCCTGCCACAGTGTGTTTCCTCATGCCAGTCTTGCATTTCCTGCAGATGAGGATGAGGGCCCAGAGGCTAGACAGCTCCAGAAAGAAGTGGAAGCCTTGTCCCCAGAACTGAGGCACTACATCCAGGAGGACAACTGGCGCCTGGAGCAGGAGGCAGAGGAGTGGGATGAGGAGCAGTCTTGCAAGATTCCTCAGATGGAGCCTTCACCTTCTTCTGAATTGCAGGACCTCTCCTCTGAGTCAGGACCAGGTAATCTCACTCTGAATTTGCAAACCGTGTCAGAACCAGGAGCAGCCAGCTGGTCAGCAGTACCACCGTGTTGAAACCTTGCACAAATGTGTCAGAATGCAGGAGCAGCCGTGCAAGAGGCAGCAAAGGCAGCTGCTGGAGGCTCTGCCCCGACAGCACCAAAGGCTGTTCTGCTGGCTTTGCATGTGCATCCTCCCAAGCCTGTCCCCAGAAATGCTGTTTCCCATTCACTTAATCATCATGGACTAATATCAGTTCATTTCCAGCTGTTTCTTTTTTTTTATTTTATAAATGTGGAGGGGACAAGTGCTGTTCTGTGGAGTGGGAAGCGTTACTTGGCAGTCCCTGGTGTGCCATTCCCACTGGAAAGGGGTACGCGCACGCTGGCGTGCAGGGCCTTCACCTGGGGGGTGTGTAAAACTGCATGGACAAGCTGCAAAACATTTTAGAACACGAGAGAAAAAAAAGTCTTGCAGCTCTTGCTGACTAGCACCACACGTGTGTCCCGGCAGAGCAATCACCGGTCTGTGAGCCGAGCGTGCACTCCCTGTCCTCGGAGCATGCCAGGATTGCCAAGGAGCAGACTGCCAAGGCCATTGCCAACACTGCTGATGCCTACGAGAAGAACGGTGTCGAGGCAGCTCTGTGTGAGGTAGGAGCTCAGCCTTGGACCAACAACCTCCCCCTTCTGCTCTCTGTATTATTCTTCTTGATAGATCTTTGCTTTTCCCGTTTCTGTGAAGTTCTGTAGCTGTGCCACGTTTAGCTCGGTCCCCTTTGGCTTTCCTGTATTTTGCTTTGGATTTTCTTACTCTCTCTCTTCTTTTTCTTCTTGGCCACAGCGCAAGGAGGTAGAGCCTCTGAAGGCCCATCCAGAAGAAACATCCCCCTCAGTTCAGGCAGAGCAGCCCCAGGACACTCAGGAAGCAGAGGCTGCTGCCCAAACTAGCTCACAGGTCTCTGAAGTGGAAATCCCCAGTGTGGGGAAGATTCCCGTTAGATCCGATGCAGATGGATATAATGAGGAGGTACAGATCCCAGTGCAGGGGTTAATTACTGCTGCTCGTTAGGCTGTGGCTTTGTAGATAGCTGGCTTTCAGCTGCCCTAAGGGTGGGTGTCACAGTGTCTGTCATAGGAGCAGCGCCCTGTACAAAGTCAGTTTTCCTACTGTGCAAGGGAAGGGGAACCACATAGTTCCATAATTCCCTTTTTAAACGTCATCAGAAAAGGAGCTCTGTAAGAGCACTCGATTTGTCAATCTGCATGTTGGTCATGAGTCCTCTTTCTGGCACAATTCTATCAAAATTGATCCTGCCTGTGTTAATTTCTTTGCAAGTCTCTTTGCTGGCTTCAGTTACTATTTTGTCCCCAGTCAAAGACCTTAATCCCAACAGCATAATTTACATACCCCGCCCACTGATTTTTTGGGATCTGACTTTAACTGCTCTCATACATGCTCAAGCAGTGTTTTGGAAGTTCCCTCACAAGTTGGATTTCACACAAACACTGGGGATGTCACTCCTTGAGTAGGTTTGAGATGTTCTTGAGTGATGTTGGCTGAAGGAACTGCTGCACCACAGGTTCTGCATTTATTTTACATGTCTTAGGAAGATTGAGTGGGACGTGGTGGGGACATGGCCAGCCTGCTTTTACTTTCTCACTTGTTGAATTTAAAAATTCAAGTGTTTGGAGTGACCAGCTTTGAGACCTTTAAATGCCAAAAAAAAAGCCCAGCATGTAAAAGTGCATGTGATGGATAGAGTCAGTAGCATGCGAGTAACTCGCAGCCCCAGTCATCACACCTGTACTCATACAATTTCCTTTAAAACTTACCTTTTGAAAGTTTCTTCCATTCTTCACTATGCTGTCTCTTCTTTCCCTGTCTGTCACTGTTTTCCTTGTTCCTGTTTGTGTCTGTTCTCCTGCTTCTGTGGTAGGTGATGCTGAGTCCAGCCATGCAAGGTGTCATCCTGGCTATTGCAAAAGCCCGCCAGACCTTTGATCGTGATGGGTCTGAAGCAGGGCTTGTTAAGGTATTGATTTGTTTGCTAAATCAAATAGTATGGATATCTGTTTGCCCAGAATAGAGTATGTGCCATATTGACAGGTCAGGAATGTAAAGGGAACGATTTGTGCACTTTTTCTTCTAGTTAATGGCCTTTGCCCCACATTTCAGTTCCTGTTCTCTTACAGTGATGAGATATCCATGGGTTCAAAACAATTGTTAGAGCTTGCAGGAGAGCACCCTCTTCCCAGTAAAAACAGAAACTTTCCTTTTTTCTGCTTATTCTTTTAGTACTGTAAAATTTGGTTTTTTGATCCTGAACATACTTGCTTACTGTGACCTCTGCTGTCAAAGACATCCTCAAGAAGTGTCTGTGTGAACAGAGGTTTGAAAGCATAACCACTGCTGAATGCTGAAGCTGGTGTTAGGTTTACAGGCAGGTAGACTTAAGTAAAAATACCACATGGAAAAAATCATCCATGCTGGTAATCTAAGGGAATATAAATCACAAGATACTCTTGCACCTCCTGCAGGTAGAAATGTGTCCCAGTGGATTTTGGCAGTCTGGGCACTTGTCACAGGGTTACCAAATCTGTCTAAGGCAGCTGTACCCCCTCTGTCAAAGGCATTTACACACCCTGGCACTTCTGGAAGCTCACACTTGGCACGTGGGGTTTGCCTGGCTGTGGGGGCCGTTGGTTCAGAGCTGAGGTGTTGGTGGGCCTCCTTTGACCACTGGGGCATCACCAGCAGAGGAGGCTCGGTGTCACCAGAGGAGCCCTTCCAGGCAGGACCGGTTTGAGCTCCTGTTGGCTGCTGTGGCACTGCCACGGGCAGACAGGTGGATCTGTCAGTGCCTGTGTTCCATTGGCAGGCATTCCATGAGGAGTACTCCCGGCTGTACCTGCTTTCCAAAGAGACCCCAACCCCCCAGAACGATGCCCGCTTGCAGCACGTGCTCATCTACTTCCTGCAGAACAACGCTCCGCAGCAGGTGGTGGAGCGGACCCTCCTCGAGCAGTTTGCAGACAAAAACCTCAGCTACGACGAACGGTGAGTGCCCAGCACTCCAGGGTAGGCTTTTCCCAGCGGGATGTGGCCGAGGCCGCTGTTGTGATTTTTCTCCTTTCTGCTCACATGGAGCAGGTCCATCAGCATCATGAAGGTGGCACGGGCCAAGCTGAGCGAAATCGGTCCTGACGATGTTGACATGGAGGAGTACAAGGTGAGGGATGAGTGCTGTCTGATCCTTGCAGCTGTCCTAGCTGGCTCTGCCCAGACTGGGAACTGGGGAGCACAGCATGGAGCTGGGTGGCCAGCACAGTGGGTGTCTGAGGAGGCTGCTGAGGGAGAAGGAATACAACGAAAACCTGAGCTTGGAGGAGTGTCTGCACTTGGCTAGATTCATTTATGTGTCACTCAGGAGAGACAGTTAAACGCTTCAAAGGGTGGAACTAGGGACCCCAGACTATGCATGTGAGTGTGCCAGGTGAGGCTGATGCTCTGCTTTCCTCCTCCTCCTCACAGAGATGGCACGAAGACTACAGCCTTTTTCGCAAGGTGTCCATTTACCTGCTGACAGGGTTGGAACTCTACCAGAATAGAAAGTAAGTTCCTCTAATTGTGTTTGGACAAGATAAGTTGTAGCTAAAAGTAAAGGCCACCGTGACAATTTTTTTTCTTTCTGAACTACAATGGCCTGTGTTTGAGGCCAGTGGGAGCTTTTTTGACCTGCTAATAGTTCTTCTTGAATCCACAATCAAGCTTGGTTAACAGTTTAAAAAATACGAGGCTGAGCTGCTAGCTGCCTGCCTGACAATTCCGAGAGTTTCCCCTAAGATTTCCCTTTGGGAAGTAGAGCTTTATATTCTGTTTTCCAGAGATGGATTGGCAGGAATGATTGCCATCACTTTGGGATTTTTCACCTTGGACTTCTGTATTAAAAGGAAACTGCCTCGAAATGGATGTTACACTTTGTGTAAACACACACTGTGGAGCCCTCTAGACTCAAAGGGCTTTGGTTTCCTCCTTACCATTCTAGAACCTGTATTTTCCTTAAATGGTGCAGGCTTTCAGAAATTATTCCTGAATGGAAACAGAACTGAATTCTGAGGTAGTTCACAGTGACAAGCCACCAAACTCAGGTGGGCAAATTGACGTGAGGCATGACAAGAGCAGCTTAGAATTCCCCCAAATTGACCTAATCCCTGTCAGCAGTTTTCTCACCTGAAGCTTGTAACGTGTGAGAGACTGAAATACACAGCCCTTCTTGGGGTGTCCTCTCATAGTGCAGTTCCTGGAGCAGTACAGAAAACAAACGTGGAACAAACACATTGCACATGAACTTGGTTTTAACTGCCCAGACACTTGTTTGGCATTCTGGGCAAAAAGGAGCAGGAATGGCTTGACATGGGGCATGTGTTCATTAGTGCTTTGGCAAGGAAATACAGCTTTTCCCATCGAGCCTGCTGCTCCCAGCCAGGCCCTGCAGGGAAGGTTTCCTGAGCTGAGCCACGGGAGTGGCTGTAGCCATGGCCCTGGCAGAGCCCCAGGCCTGCAGAGCTGACCCTCTTCTTGCAGGTACCAAGAGTCACTCACCTACCTGGTCTACGCCTACCAAAGCAACACCAAGCTGCTGCTGAAGGGAACCAACCGCGGCGTGAGCGAGTCGCTGATCGCCCTGTACCGGAGGAAGTGTCTCCTGGTTGGTATTGAGGAGCTCAGCACTCCCTTGGGAGAGGAGGGGAGGGAGCAGCCAGGGTAGCCAGGACCAGTGTAACTGCTTCTGTTATGTCTTTGGTGTGATTCTGCCCCTTGCTGAGTGCCAGCAGCAGTATGGAAAGCTAACAATAATCATAATTCAATTAAAGAGCGTGCCACATAGGTTTCGGGGAGTCTAGGCAAAGGCAGGTCTGGATCTTGCCATCTTCAAACCAGAATTGTAAATAAGCTGTATGCTCTCTGTGTACAGATACAGCAAATTGCATGTATGTGTATGAATATATTATTTTCCAGTTTGTTTTCTGTGGTGTGTTTCCCATGACCGAAAGTGGCTGTTCCACCAGAAGCTGGTGCTGTTAGTCCTTATTTTCTGCATGGCTGCCAGTGCAGGGCCCAGGCTGGGCCTTTCCTGGATGGTTGTCCATGGTCCATGCTTGCTCTTTACAAGTCTGTCCCCAATTCTCCTTCCACCCCCAGAAGCTGAACGAGGTGGCAGCTTCTCTTTTTGTCAGCTGCGAAGAAGCTCATGTGTCAGAGGGTGTGAGCATCCTGAACGAGCTGATCATCCCCTGCATGCATCTCATGAACAACTTTGAGATCTCCAAGGAGGACCTGGATGCCATCGAGGTCATGAGGAACCGCTGGTGCTCCTATTTGGGACGAGAAGACATGGATGGTAGGAAATGGCTGCTGTGCATGGGCAGGGTAGTATTGGGATCTGAACTGGGAAAGAATTAAAGACCATCTAAAATTCTTGGTGTCTGCACTGCAGCCCATCAAGGCCCTTCTAATTGTGGGAGGAGAAATGCATTTGAGTCACCTATTAAATCCTGTTACAGAAGAATTAATCTTTTGTGCTAAAAGAGGCTGCAGAAATGTCCCTCATCCCTAAAATGGGACAGCTGATGTCCCAAGAATGGCTTAGAGCTCCCTTGAGGGCCTTGGGTCTTCTGTTGAGGTTTCTCCCCAACTGGAGGTACCCAGGAATGGCAGGTGAATGCAGACATGCTTGGTGGCATGGCATGCTCCTCTTCAGGAGGGAGGAGCAGGTGTTATCGGAGCCAAGGTTATGGAGGATGGAATGGGGGAGCAGATTTGGGGCATCTCTGCCTTCTGAAGAGGAGTTTGTCATTGTAGAGCTGAATGTTGGTTCTGAGCAGCTGTTCTTGTTCTGTATTTTCTTCTGGAGTCAGCCTCTGTGACTCCCTTCGGGTCATTTCTCTTCAGACAAATTTGTCCTGACTTGCCTTGATGTGTGCATGAAGGTCTGGGGAGTTTTTATCACTAACAGAGGGTAAATTACTTCAGACAAATTTGTCCTGACTTGCCTTGATGTGTTCATGAAGGTCTGGGGAGTCCCTGCAGAGTTTTTATCACTAACAGAGGGTAAACTTGATGAAAGAAAATTATGTAAAACCACAGAGGTTTACCCTCAAAGTACAGTTGTAAAAATTAATACTGGATAAATCTGTCCCAGTTCCTGGCCTTGATGTGACAGCCTCTGCTTACACAGAGGTTTTAAAGAACCAGAGGCTGAGTGCTCACCCCTCCCAGGCTGCGTGAGCTGGCTCAGGTGTTGCCTGCTCTTCTTCACCCCAGAGGGGCTGTGGTGTGTTGTGCACTCCAGTGGCCTCTGGGCACGGAGCTGCCCTGGGAGTGGATGGTACCAGCTCAGCACGGGCTGAACTGGCCTGTCTGAGGGCATACAGCATGTGAAGGCTCCGTTCCCCTAACTGCACAGTCAATATTTGAGTGTCACCCCGAAGCAGGCAGCAATTCTTCAGCTGACAGCCGGGACAGCGGCGCCTCTCCAGGGAAGGCGCTGCCTCAGGGGACATGGCGTGTCCTCAGGCAGCCAGGTGGCAGTGGAGCTTCCCTCACGGAGCCCCGGGAGGCTGCTCCTCCCTGGTGGTGGGCTGGGCAGCTCTCAGCGCAGGGAGAGCAGTCTGCAAAAGGCTCCGCAGCTCCTTAACTCCTCCTGGAGCCCTCTGCCATTTGCTGCCTCTGACTGTTTCCTCCTTTCCCCTTGACAGCAAAGCTGCAGAGGAAGCTGGGTGAGCTGCTGCCCCGGCTGCTGGACGGCTCCACTGAGGTCATAGTGCTGAAAGAGCCGCCGAAGATCCGGCCCAACTCCCCCTACGACCTGTGCAGCCGCTTTGCGGCCGTCATGGAGTCCATCCACGGGGCCTCCGCCGTGGCCGTGAAGTAGCCGCGGGCCGCGGCCGCGCCACGGCCCGCCAGGCAGAGCTGCAGCGGGGAGGAGAGGGGCGGTTCGGATTCCGAGCTGCGCTCTTTGTAAATATGAGCGGATAAAAAGCAGTATTGCACTTCTGAGGCAAAACGTAAGGCAGGAACTCGAAGGACCTGGACCACTGTTGCAGCGCAAGGCGCAGGCCCCGGCAGCACCGTGGGGCCTCTTCTGTCCTGGCGGCCTTCTAGATGCAGCCCCCGGGCCCGTGACGGCACGGGAGCCCAGCTCTGCTCAGCACCGCGCGCTGTGGCTGGGCCGGCGGGCACTTGCACAGCTCCCTGAGTCCATGGCCACTGCCAGAGGTGCATGTTCCAGCCCAGCCAGACTCCTGCTCGCAGGAGCCTGGGCTGAGCGAGGAGGAGGCAGCAAGGAGCAGCGGCTCGCGCTCTGCAGCGTGGGCGGTCATGCACGCAGCTGACTGTTGTGGTCAAGCCAAGCAGGCTTTTGCCTTTTGTACTCCAGCTGGCACCAGAAACCACGCAGGAGCCTTCCTTGAAGAAGCACAGGCAAATCCTGGCAGTGAGGAGCCAGGACGGGGCTGTGGGTTTGTGCCTGGCAGGAGCTGACTGGCTCAGGGCAATCACAGCACCCCAAAGGATATTCCCCTTGTGGCTGGAAAGCAAACTTCCTTCTCCCCTCGGGTGGTGGGTCAGGGCTGGATTACTGTTGATGACAGCTGGGAGGGCTCAGATCAGCCCGTTCTGTTGGTGGTGGGTGTTTGTGTTGACTTTGTTAACAAAGTGCCCTGTTGGCATTTCCTTTTGCGGTCGCCCTGTGCTTGCATTTGAGCTGCAGCACTTGTAAGCCAAAAGTTCTGAGTCAGTGGAGGGGGATCCTGTTTTTTGGAACTATGCAGAGTTTTCTAACAGTGCAATAAAAGCATTTGTTCTATGTTAGAATGAAAAAGCTCCTTCCATGTCTTTATTTCACCCTAGGGTTCTGCCTGAAGGTTCCCCCTGTACAGAATGTGTTGTTATTAGCAGAGCTGCCTTAAAGGTGGCTCCACCATCCTGTCAGGGGATGTTTCCCCAGTATTTAGGAGTAAAATGCTCACGTGGGGGAATCTTGCACTCTCCTGGTGAGTTTATGAGAGGTAGAACTGCTGTTAGCCACAGGCACTCTGGCTGCCAGTGTCCCAGCAGCCACCCACGCCTCCTCAGGGACCGGGGTGCTGCAGTGCCTGCGTGCTGCTCTCGCAGCTTGTTTCCCCCGTGGTTGTGACAGCAGTGGGATGAGGCCTGCAGCTCACTGCTCAGGTGCTTGACCTTCCATGAATGGAAGCACGGGGCTCTTGAACAGAGCCCCCAGGCCATCAGCCACCCGGGGCGTGCTACCTCCTCCCAGCCAGCACTTGGCATTGCCAGGCGGCTTTTGTGCACGTGGAAGCAGTAGGATGTGGTTTGGGAAGAGGAGAGCCTGTTTGTTCTTTCTCGTGAAACAGCGGCTTTGCCCTGCTCTTTGTGTTGCTGCCAGAAGCTGAAATGCCCAGCCCGTGCCCACAGCCTGCCTCAAGGAACCAACGGAGAGTGTCAGGAGTACAGAGAGGTGCCGGGGACGTCACGGTGTTTGGACTGGGCTGGACAGCAGGAGTGTTCCCAGGCTGGAAGCCTTTGCTCACTGTCCTGTCCTCCCATTTCCCAAGGGAATTACAGCCAAAACAGCCTCTTTGTGCTCCCTGGGTCGGTCAGCCCTCCTAGGGAGCTGGCAGGGGCTGCAGCTCCTTGGAGGGTGATGGCCAGGACCACTGCCCCTCAGTTCTACCTTGTTTGATTCTCTTTCAGAAGGACTGAGCACCTGCCTCTTCCACTTCACTCTCAGCAGCACCCACTCTGCCCCCAGTCCTGCAGCACCAGAACTCCCCGGGATCATCACTGCTCCCTTTCCTTGCCCATCCGCTCCTTCCTCTCCTCCAGCTGAGCAAAGTGCAGGTTTCAAAATGGGACTTAGAGGGAGTGGACTTTGCTTCCCGCAGGAATGCCGCTGTCGGCCGGGCCTTCCTTGAGATGGGTCACGCGCCCACGGCTTTGAGCCTGCAGGGATTAAACCAGCGCTGAACTCCCTTTCCAACCAGTGCCGTGGCAGCGGGCAGGCCCCTGTCAGGACTCCGGGTGCTAATCCAGCCTGATGGTCCATGCTCTTGCTCACAGAGGTGTGTAATCAGCCTTTATTTTTACAGCTGAATCAGGAAAATGTGGAAGGAACAGTTGAGACCAGCAGAAACCCTTTCTTGCCTCTTGTGCACAGGTAAATGATGCAGTCAAGGAACTTTTGACACAAAGGTCTGTGGCACTTATCGGCTTTATCATCTTAGCCATGAGAAGATGAGGCTCCTGCAGGGCACGCGGTCACTGCCATCCCACCTTTGCAGCAGGGACAGAACTTGGTGCTGCCTTGTCTCTCATTTTCCTCCTTCCCCCTTGTTTTCCATTTTTCTCTCTTTTCCTCCAATCTTTTCTGAACCGACCAAACCACAGCTGCAGCAGCAGTGCTGCCCCTTGCAGCTCCCACCCTGCATCCCACCTCTCCAAGATACAGCTGCATGTTCAGAGCACAGACACACTGCCAACGGACAAGATAATTTATTGCAAATACATCAGAGCAACACAGACATGCAAGGACAGAGCTGCTGCACTGGGGCGCAGCATTAGCCACGACAGACTTGGCTGTGGGGGACTCGCCAGGGATGCCAACAGTGTCACCCATCAGTGATGGTACCACGGTGTCACCAGCAGTACAAAGTGCTGCCTGCTGCTTGTTGCCTTCCCACACTTGCTTGGTGAGTGCTGCAGGGAAATCTGCTGCTCCTTAACAGAGAAAAAGTGAAGCAGACACGCAGAGGAAGGAGAGAAACCTGCAGAGCTGCCGTAGCAATTAGCGAATCATCCTGTGAAACAAGCAGGAGCCCTCCCTGCCAGGGGAAGAGCCACGAGGTGCACAGGGCACAGCACCCTGAGGCCCTAGATGACCAAGTCTGCGTTTTTGGGGTGCAGGGGGTGGCCCCCAGCCAGCCCTCGTGCAGCAGGGGCCTGGCGGCCGGCGGGGGCCAGCGGCGTTGCGGTGCTCGTGGAGCGGGCACTGCAGGCAAGGAGCAGTCCTCCGGCGGCCAGGAAGGCTCCAGCAAACCACCCCAGGAAGGTGGCCTCCCCAAACTCCCACCTGGGGACGATGTCGGGGACAGTCTCGTCCCAGAAGTCGAGGACGGTGTCGTAGGCGACCCAGGAGACCGGCACCAGCGTGGTGATCCCTGCCATGCCAAGCGTCGCTCCCCCGCCAAGCAGGAGCTGCCGCTTTCGCCCAGGTTTGTCCTCGCAGGTTCTCCAGCCCTCCAGCCCCAGGGCAGCGAGGAGACAGCCCAGCAGCCCCAGCCCGTTGGACAGGCACATCAGGAGGCGGGAGATGCGCAGCTCGGGGGGCAGCGCCAGGAAGGAGCCGTGGGCTTGGCATTCAACCACCCCCTCCTCCTGGGTGATGCAGACCTGCCAGAGCCCCATGTTCCAGACCTCCAGCTCGTTCAGGTCCAGGTTGAGGTTCTTCCAGAGTGGCACGAAGGTGGTGACGCAGGAGCTGATCCAGCCGAGGACAGCCAGCAGCATCCCCCCTCCCTGCGCCTTTGCCCAGCAGCCCCCGGCCATGCCGCCGCCGCCCCGCTGACCGCCGCGCCCCGATCAGCCTCCCGAGCGGCGGCCGCGGGCATTAACGCTTGTGCGGCAGCGTCCGCCCGGCCGCGTCTGCCGCCCGGGGGGGCGAATTCAAGCCTGCTCCTCCAACGCCGGGGTGTGGCCACGGTCGTTTTCCAGCTCTTGTTGGTTTTTCCACGCTAAAAGGAGAGCCCGGCTCAGCAGGAAAAGCCGGGTGCATCCCGCGGTAACTCCGAGCGGGGTCCCGCCGCCGCCTCGCCGTGCCCAGGAGGGTTAAGGCAAAGCACGCAAATCCTCCGAGCCTTGGCCACCCCGGAGCGAGGGCCTTGGCAGGGAGAGCGATTCTCGGCAGCAGCAGCAGGTCCAGCCTCGGTGGGGCACGGCTGGCACCGCAGCGCGAGATGCAGGCAGCAGAGAGCCGGCATCGGGCTTTTCTCGGGAGTCAGAGCCTCGGTTGGAGGCCTTGATCCTCATTCGGGCATTAATTAAATATGCAAAGGAGCCTTTGAGGGCTGCCTTGAGAATGGGGATGCCCAAGGGAGGCAGCAGGTTTCAGGTGGGCCCTTCTCGCAGGTGGGCATTGATCCCCCTGTCCTGCACGCAGCACTTCACCAGCAGATGAGACTCATGGTGCTTGTGTGTCCTGATAGGAAACACCCTGCTGCAGCTGGGGAAAACCCATGTCCATCAGCTTGGTCCGGTGGAAGGTGTTCCTGTGGCAGGGGGTTGGAGCTGGACTGCTCTTTAAGACCCTCTCCAACCCAAGCCGTTCTGGGGTTCTCTGAAAAGGATGAAAAGAAGGAAAATCCCAAGTTTGTGCTGGCACTCGGCTCCCATCCTCCCCCACGTGCATTGCCTCCGCGGGGTCCAGCTTGCAGATTCATCTTCCCTGGGAGATTAGCGACTAATCTCTCCTTCATCCGCCGTCTTTCTTATCTGTATCGGGAGCCAGACTGGAAATTACTGAGTCCTGCTGGTCCCGGGGTCCAGCCCTGGTGATTGTCAGGAGGATCTTTGCAGGGGGCTCCCACAAGGAGGGGCCGAGGCAGCACCGACCACGTTCAACGTGGAGGCACAGACCAGGCAGGAGAAAGGGGATGTTTTCCAGCCCTTGCTGAGCATCCCGTTCCTAAGACCAGACAGGGAGCATCACCCCGAGGGCAAGGGCAGGGAAATCCGCTGGGAAACCCCTCCTGCTCCTTCCCCCAGGCATTGGGGCACCTGCTTCTTCCGATTAAATCGTCTCAAGGTAATTGTGCCTGTCACTGAGACAGATTAACGGGTGACCTTCTGCCGCTGGAGCAGGATTGGCGGCCGCCGCCGAGCTCCCAGTCCTTCTTTCCCTCCCACCGGCCACGGTGGCACGGCCGGGCAGAGGATTCCCGTCCGCAACCGGTGGGAAGATGCCCGGCAGTGGCCGGGGCGCAGCGGGAGCCACCAGCCGAGAACGACGTCTGCCGGGCTGGCAGCCGCTCTGCCTGGACATGAGGTGGGTGTCTCCCGCGCCCTGGGGTCTGGGGAGCCGGGAGCTTGGTCCGGAGGGTGACATCCTCCCTCCATCGTGGCACTGAGGCCGCTGGTCCCGCTGCTCTGCAGCGCCAGGGGATGCTCGACAGAGGCAGAGCGCCAGCACTCCCACCCCATCCCGCCCCATCCCGCCCCATCCCCGCGGGTCGCTGCGCTCCGGGTTGCGTTTCCAGGACCATCATCTCCCACCGCGTCTCCCCTTGGGCACCGGCTGGACTCAGCCTGTCCCGAGGAGCCCGGCGGTGGGGTCTGCATCTCTCTCGCAGGCTGTCCTTCCTCCGCGCCTAGGGGCCATCCATTTCTGCTCGGAGCTTCTTAGAGAACCGGCAGCTACCGCCACGGCCTGGAACACCCGCGGAACAGTGCCTTAGGGGCTCACCCGGAGCTTGCCGGCTGCCGGGGCTGCTTCCCAGCGGAGACGAATGCCTCCTTCCCCGGCCTTGCAGAGCAATTCCGGCCCTTAATGGGCTTAGCCATCTGGAGCCAGCCCGCAGGCACGCCGGCACAGCTCCGGAGCTGGGACACGCGATGCTGGGCAAGGGGGGACCCCGCAGACCCCCCGGCCCCTGGGGACGCGGAGCGGGGCCGGAGCCCCGGGCTGCTTTCCGTGTCCCGAGTAACTCCCGCTTTGTCTCCCCGTGGCAGGAGCCGGCGCGCAGCCCGGGGCTGAGCCGCGGCCCCGGCGCTGCCATGGTGCTCCCCTACGCCCGCAACAGCGGCGGCGCCGGCGGCTGGCTGCCC